GTAATAGACTTCTCAGAATGCCACTTCCCACAAATCGGGGATGCAGCCTTTTATTTGCCCTCCATGGGGAGAGGTGTTTGGAGTAATAGGGATGAAGCAGACCATAACTACAGCTGAATAAATCTTCCTATCCTGGCTCAGTGGAAGCCGGTGCACACATGGCTTATCAAAGCTCCCTAAAATGTTGTTTGATAGGAATTCTGTACAGTTTAGGATTTCTCCTTCTGCTATCCACTTGCCTCGCCTTTTTCCACACTACAGTGGTTGAGTCAGTGTGTAATCAGCCGTCTTGCTGGAGCTGCCAGGTAATCCTGGCTGTCTTATTGGCTCTCTGTATGTATACACGTGACAGCTGGCACAGCTGCTAAGTTGGGTGAGTGAATGGCACCATGGAGATTTTCTCTCCATAGGGTGTAAAGGCATATCAAATGATCTGATGGCTATTCAAATTGTCATGTGAGATTTGAGAGTAAGGATGGGCATTTTCAGTGCAGATGCCCAAATACATGACTGTGCTTGAAATGAGTCTAAATTGAGTCTTTTCTTTCATTTTGCCTTTTATAGACCTGCCTAGAATTGGAGCGTTATCTGCAGACGGAGCCAAAGCGTCTGTCTGAACTCTTCGACCAAGACCTGGATGGTCTCCTAACTCCTGCCTACCTAAAGGAGGATGGTGAAGAAGAACTGGCAGACACCCTGCTCCCCAGCCTGCCCAGCCTCCCTGAGCCTCCGAGCCCACCTCCAGTTATCCTCTGCCCAATGCGAAAGAACTTACCCTCCACCGGTGCAATGAAAAAAGACCTCAAACCCAAGGGGCAGGGGCTGGAAAATGTAGAAGGGATGGAGGGAGTCCATCAGGCTCAGCTGAGTGCTGTCACCTCCCTGACACCCCCATCGTCACCAGAACTGGGCCGGCATCTTGTCAAACCCAACCAGACGCTGACGGCGTCAGCTGATGGGACACTCACTCTGAAGCTGGTGGCAAGAAAGGTGGGCCTTAGTGCAGCCCGGTTGGTCGCAGCACATACACTTCCTGTCCAAATGAAGGATGAAGAGGAGGGGGCTGCATGTGTGATTGGGGTTGGGGAGCTACCGGAAAACAAGAAAAGGATCCATCGTTGTCAGTTCAATGGCTGCAGGAAGGTGTACACCAAGAGCTCCCACCTAAAGGCCCATCAGAGGACACACACAGGTAAACATTTGAGTGATTATTTTATTTTTTAGATGTAGCTATAGCGGTAATTGTACTATTAGCAGCATCAGGAAAAGAAGAACCTGTAGCAACACTTTAGTTAAGGAGGACATATTTTGCGAAATTTGTGATCAGCAATATACTTCAAAAGAAATTTGATCAACTATTTTGTTCATGTTCAACAGTGGAGTAAAATGCATAAATGTGTTCTAGTCATTTAGCTTCAGGATTGTTTGGAACTGCCTAAAGACCACACATTAACATACATTAATTGGTGAAAATGTGCATGCTTGTAAATGGATGCAACTGATAGTGCATGTGTATGAGCATAGTTGGTTATGAGACATTCAACAAGACAATTCTGAGGACACCTCTCTCACAAGAGGCAGCAACTTGATACACCTGCTGGCAATGAAACGGACTGACACCCACTACTGATGAAAGGTTAAAAAGACCAGTCCTGAGGCTAAAACATTATAACATATAGAAGAAGGCACTGCCAGAATGTGAACATAGAAACTGAAAGAATTTAATTGAAAGTGCTTGGGTGTGCATTTGTTGTGTGAATATTTCTTCTACTACTGGTGATTTCTTGAAGTCTCAGCCATTCAATTAGACATTTATACTATGGAGTCTGTTTGCTTATGGATTATTCTCTGTGGCCTATGATGGGAACTAGAATGTGTAAACACTTTTCTGAAGGAAACATATAAAATGTGGAGATTGTCCTCCTGCAAAAAATAAGTTGCTTAGGTTGTTTATGCTGCGTTATATTTTGACAAACTTTAGCGAGCATAGTTATTATGACATAAAGGAAGAAGTTACAGTTGAAGTTAGAAGTTTATGCACCTTAGCCAAACACATTTAAACTCAGTTTTTCACAGCTCCTGACATTTAATCTTACAAACATTCCATGTCTTAGATTAGTTAGGATCACTACTTTATTTTACCAATGTGAAATGTCAGAATAATAGTAAAGAAAAAGATTTATTTCAGCTTTATTTATTTCAGGTTTAAAGCCTGGTCCCCTCTGTGCCACATGGAAATATGACCATGTGCACTAAAAATATGATAATTTAAGGAAACACATTTCTCTATCTACCTAAGCACTTCTCTGTGGCAAATACGAACAGGTCTGCCTTGTCAAGATTCTTCTCAAGACAGAAGGGGGGAGGGTTGAGGAGCTATAATTCTCCCGCTCTACCATCTCAATCCCAAACCACTCAGACCCCTGTCGGAGAGCTGTCCTCTGTCTGAGTAACTGCACAGTGATGGATGGATTGACCTGGATAGGCTGCCATTTCCCAAGTTTATTTCAGGCCTCCCCATCCTCTACGTGCTCTGTAAGTCTAGGTCAGTGGTTCTGTGTGAGACAAGAGACTGATTTTGCAGGGTGGATAATAAGATCTTAAGACCAGGAAAATATCTCTTAAATGTAACAATGAATTACAGTCTTAGGACAGATGTCATGAAGGATACCACGTGTAAACTTATTCCAACAATGAGGGGAAAATATTAACTGTTGTTTGTTGTTATTAATTTGCAGGTTTAGGGTTTAGCACCCTTTTGGTGTCTCTTTCACACTAAGAATGTTTGGGGTGTTTATTTGAACACTTGAAAACTTGAAAGTTTCCTCTTTTTGTATAGTTAGAGGTCGGTGCCTTTTGAATAATGATAGAAATAATCCTGATGGCTGAAGATTTTTATGCCTAAGAGAGATGTTCAGGGTATAATGAGATGAATCTTGACATCTGATATGAATGGTGGATTGCTGTCTGGACTCATGCTAATATCCACCTGTTTCTTTACATGTTTCAGCTGGTGGAGACACAGCAAACAGCGTCCCTCATGCTAAATTAAGTTACAATAATGGAAATTAGATTTGTTTACTCTCCAACATCTAAATCATGACACTGTTTGGTTGACAGATCACCAACAAAGATACTGCATGTGACTTGTTTATTAGCTCTGACTCATACAGTATGTATTGCATGTGTAGAGGTGGGTAGAAACATGCTGTATGTGTGGTCACACCCTCAGTGGGGCACAACACAGGTTTAGGCATCAGTCTGACGGAACAAAAGGGCACAAGCATGCCATCATTGATTTCCCCGGTGTGGTAGCCCTTGTGATTAAAGTACATGCCAACTCTAGCATTTCTTCTTGATAAATTACATAAACTATTATTTGATTCATTTTCTTTGGCGAATTCTGTAATTGAACAATTATTCAAAGGTTGATTTGCACTATCGAACTTAGTAGACGAGTCAACCTGAAATAACTGAGGAAGATCCTTGTCACAATAAAATGTCACATACTGTATGGAAACTATGATAGATCTGAGCTGACATGTCAGCCTTTATACAGTATCCAGTAAAATGTTTTAACATGGATACGATCATAACTGAATGACATGCAATGTTACCTGAAGACCATAAAGGGCTCATTTCCTTGAGGAGCCCCTCCCCCTCGAGCTTTTCATTGTCACTTAATGTGCTCTGGATAAAGCATCTGCCCAAAGAACACCTGTCTTGTTACTCAAACCAGGAAGGTAGACTGTCAACATAAAGTGACAAAAGAAAACACAAAAGCTAAAGAAAAGGCAGGAGAAGAGGAGAGAGTGATGTGGAGTGAAACAAAGGGCAGATGAGGACAGAAGACAGGAATGGGGGAGGCACAGTAGAGCGACCCTCTTCAGAAAAAGACAGCAGTGCCACAGGCTCCCCCATTCACTGAGCCATTATCCTGACAAGTTTAAAGATGTCATTACTCAAATCCTCTTTTTCTTAGTTGTTATTTCCATAAATTACTGATGGAGAAAAGGCTACGATTTAATCTGGAATTAGACAGTCTGACTTAAAATGACAGTGCCCTGTAGAGCTTTTTGTGAATAGGTTTGTGGCAGATAAGGAATGGTACAATTAGATTTTGGGCAGGGTGAGGGAACGGATAAAACACCAGGATTGTTGGGTTGTTCTGTCATTGCTCTTTGCCACGCTCTCTCACTCTTTCTCTGTTTCTGATCTTTCTCCCTCTCTAGGTTGTGCTTCTTTCCATCCCGTATCAGTTTACTCTCATGCTCTTTTGCCACTCTTTTAAAAATATTGTACAACAGTTATTCTGAAAAATACTACCTTCTATAAACTTCGAGGCTGTAATTGTCATTAGTATTAAACAAGGTCTCATTTGACCACTGCTAATCAAAGATCTACATTATATGAACAAATGTATGTCCATCCATGTGTATATGCTTTTGTGTACTGGCTGTGTTTTTGTACATTCTTTGATTTTCAGTTTAAGAGAAATTATGCTACCTAGAGTGATATTTTAGACGATGGTGTGCTTCAAGCTTTTAGCAACCGTTTGTGCACCTCTGAAGTCATCTTCATCACCTTGGTGTATCAGTGCTCCACATAACTAATAGTCTTTCTGCTGAATAGGAGCAACTTCCTGCAGCCTGGTTCCAAAGTCTTTTGGAAATCCCTCCCAGAAAAAGCATAAATTCCCATGGTTGTTCACCAACCTGGTGTTCACACACTTTTGTCCAATTGGTATATATTATTTCTGTTTAAGTCAGACAAAATTAACTTCTGGCTTTGCTAGATTGCAATTGAAAAATTACTAATTTAACCCATACTGTTTTTTATTAAATCACTCAGTTTGACAAACTGTTGGAATCTAATGTTTAACTGCACTCAAGCTGTTTCTCTAATGTTTCTTCAAAGCCTCAAATCTTGAGTCCTAATTTAGACCTTAAAGTGATGAAATAAAGTGTGTTAAATGTTTAACTGGATGTTTCTGTCATTTACACCTTGTCAGGCTACTGAAATACCTGATTCCACTGAATTTGAAATCCCGAGACATTCACCACTCACTTGGTCTTTTCAGCAGCAGAAAGACACTTCCCGCTTTTTTGTTTTCTAAACAATATAAGTATTCACAGTTGAGTCATGCTCATGTGGATACCGAGCATAAACAGCACATGCACTGGCATACAGAGAGTGTACTTATCAAATTCATTTCAGCTCAGTCACAGAAATGACCAGTGACAAACCAACGGTCATCAAGTAAAATTTACATGTTAACTACAATGGTTAGGAATAAGGAATAAAAAGAATTTAAATAATGCCTCTTGCAATTTGGAAATTCTGTTTTACATATAAAGGCATCAGGCTCTCAGCCCCACTTGTCTGTCATTCTAATGCCTCTCTCTAATGCACTTTACTTCCCCATCAGTTCCCACATCTTTCATCTTTTTCTTTTAACCCGTTTCTCTCCTCTCCCTCTTGCTCATCTCAAAAGCTGCAGTACTGGTTGTGAGTAGAAGCCTATAAAACGATGTCCAAGAGCCTCTCTAATGACCTCTGAGACCTGGATGCCCTGCTTCAGCTCCAGCTAATGGAGGGAATGCAATTAACTTCAACACTGGCACCTGAGAGGCTGGAGCGAGCGCGTGCATGTGTGTATGTGTATGTATGGGAGCATTCGGAAATAAGAGATTACACATAATGGGATTACAGTGACTCAGGAAATACTCAGTTATCAGATTACAGATGAGAAATATGATTGTTTATTTGATTACTCCACAGAAACCTTTTCAAAAGGAAAAAGATTTTTTATTTCATATAATTTTTGTCTGGAACAAGTGTTTGGTGTCAGCTAATGGGGATTTTATTAAATAATGCAGAATAAATCAGCAACAGTTCTGTCTACATGTCCTGATTCTGTAAATTAGAAGAGATAATCCCCTTAGCTTCATAATCGACATTATATGTTTTACAAAGTAATCCAAAAGTAACAGAGCATAATCAGATTATGCTGGTGACTTTGGGCTAATCCAGTGAATTAGGTTACTGATTGCCATTATAAACTGCCAATCAGTCTGATTCTATGTGACACTGTATTATAAAAGTAGTCCATCATGTGTGTGTGTGTGTGTGTGTGTGTTTGTTAAGACAAGTACCTGCTCTATTTTCCAGTTTGTATGAGGGCATCTTGAGGGAGAGGAGAGTGGGGGGGGTTGTTGCTAGGCAACGGGGGGCAGCATATCGTTGGAGGAGTCAGTAGCTGAGGGGGTATGG